CGAAACACGAATGCACTTAAACACCGTTTACTTTTTAATTTGCGCGGAAACATGGACCTTTTTGGTCCCAAACACGATCCCTCAATAGCTCGTAAATACCTGACAGAAACGACAGGCGGTATTTTATAACAAGGAAAGAACATTTGAGAAAGAAATAAAACCGAGGTACCGCGTCCAATGCCTTTTACATTTCAAAATCAACTGATAAAACGCATTTAAGTCATCAATTCTTGTCTTACACAGATCCTTTGGAAAAGACAATCCTTTACTGTTATCTCTATCGGATCTTGTCATTCACTTTAAACCATTGCTGAATCTATAAAACTATTTTTAGAATTGTTTCAAAGTATTGATAAAACGATAATTTTACTACTTACTGATTTTTATGGCCGTTTTGATAAGATTGGTTTTGGATTTGACATTAACGTAAGTTTAGATTTATTTATCCAAATGTAATTTTATAATAGTTATTCTATTTCTTCGGACTGCTTTGATACCCCGAATGGTCGCAAGTGCGACTGCCGGGCAAGGAGTCTCGGGTTCGATTCCCGGGTCAGGCAAAGTACCTATTCCTAAGTTTTTTTTAATAAAATTCTCAGTAGTCACATGGGGCTCATAACATAAATAGTGAAAAGTGGGTGTTACATTGTAGTGGCATTATGTGCCGTAATGTGCACCTCAGCCTACAGATAAAAGGCGGGATGTTATGTTATGTTATTCTATTTGTCATACAATATTTAGCAATAAGGTGATATTAAAATATTCTTAAAATTGAATTCGTGGTACACGGTACAGTGCTCGGATGAAACAAAATTAAATTTTCGCACCGAGTGCCGACGTCAGTTTACGACTTTTTGCAGCTTTGCTTCTACAATTTAGCTTGAATGCATTTACATAGTAAGTATTACGTCTCCCTGTTTCTATTCAAGTAAAATATTAAAGTATGATCTATATATTTATGTTCTGAGTCTAGTCTTGTAAAGAGATGTCGATAGTAGTTGCCATGTTGTTACTGAAGTATTTTTTTTTCAATAATTGTTCACATACTTGTTGCTCAAAATTTTAAGTACTACTTAGTACCTCCTACTCGATACAAAGACATAGACAGTTTTCATCATCATCATCAACAGTTCCGAATCTTCACTACTGGATATTCGTGCTGAGGGTCCTCTATAAGAAAATTTATTCAGCATCTAAATCTTTCTTTTTTACATAACATGATATCATGCCTTTTATATCCGAAGGGGTAGGCAGAGCACATTATGCCACTGTACAATGTAACACCCACTTTTCACTATTTACGTTATGAGTCACATGTAATGTGAGCCTATTGCTATATACCGGGCACAATTTCAGACTTCGTGCTACTACTGAACATTTAAAAAAAACACAGTTATACTTTGCACGTCCCGGGAATCGAACCCGAGACCCTGTGCCCGGCAGTCGCACTTGTGACCACTCGGCCAACGAAGAAGATTTTCTTTTTTAAATAATCCTAATTAAACGTTTAAGTTAGACTATTACAAAGCCTTTCAGATTAAACAAAAGAAAATTATATATTAGTACTATTTCAAAAATAATAGAGACAACAAAGATACTTAAACAAGGTTAGATTTTAATTATCTTCACTTCATAGATACAAAGCGGACAGTAGGACACTTGGGAAAAATGTAATTAAATTCATTATCTACTTCTTTATTTAATAGAAGTCAAATCACAGAAGAAAATGGCAAACTTTCATCATCTAAATAAGTGTAATCTATGAAGTTATAAATCACTAAGTAAGTTATCTATAGTACCTATAGATTATACAGAATAGTAATCTACCTATGTATATAAATAAAAATGAATTTCCATTCGTTAGGTCTCACTAAAACTCGAGAACGGCTAAACCGATTTGGCTAATTTCGGTCTTAAAATGTTCGTGGAGGTCCAGGGAAGGTTTAAAAGGTAAGAAAGAATTTGGGCAGCTAGTAGTTATTAATATTTACTCAAAGTCAGCTGCTACTGTCATTTCTGCATCACCTAAAGGTCGACTGTCAGACAATGTCTAGTGCGTTAAGTCCACCAGTACTTTGGCCGAGTGGTCGTGAGTGTGACTGCCGGGCAAGGGGTCTCGGGTTCGATTCCCGGGTCGGGCAAAGTATTACTGAATTTTTAAATCTCAGTAGTAGCACGGAGTCTGGAAATGTGCCCAATATATGGCAATAGGCTCACCCCCTATTACATGGGACTCATAACATAAATAGTGAAAAGTGGGTGTTACATTGTACAGTGGCATAATGTGCACCTCTGCCTACCCCTTCGGGGATAAAAGGCGTGATGTTATGTTATGTTATGATATGTTTTGTTACCAAGTAAGTCAAGAGTACCTAACACATACGAAATAAGAATACAATATCTGACTATATAAGCTGTCTTAAAATCACTACTCTTACAAAGCAGCTGCAAAAAACTGACTTTATTTTTGTAGATAAAGAAACTTCCACTGAAAAATCTTGTATAAAAATACGAAAGAATCTATTTGTCACTAAAAAAAACTCATTTTAACTTAATTTTCTAAAGTAACCTATTATAAAATCAATCTACGAACGGTATAACAAGTTTTTCAAAAAGTTTTTACTTTAAAATGAGTCCATCAAGACATTTTCTGATTGCATTCTGTAGACATTTTCTTTTGCAAAATGAAAGTGATAAACTATGTGTGAGAGTTATTTAAATATCATGTGATTTCGACGGTTAAGGTTATAATAAAAATGATTTGCAACACAAAATGTACCTTAATTTTGTCGTTTCTAGATCTAATCTACATTGACGACCGACAATTTGTAGCCACAAAGAAAACATTACGTTTTATCTCGAAGCTAACACATATCTAACGCGTGAGATACAGAAGTGCTGTAGCTAAACGCTTTAGAAACTAGATAAAAATATTTTTAGACATAAAAACTTTTATTTAGGTACCAGTCATTCTTATTTAGGTTTTGTAAAATCTGTACTGTTGTAAAATGTACTTAAAATTCTATGTACTTAATTATTTTTATATTTTTACTGATCTAATTAATTAAAATTAATGAAACTGTTATGAAAACAAGGATCTGTTATTAGTACCTACACTATAAATATGAAAATGGAATCTACATTAGATAAGATTTGGTTTTCACTCACCGTCACAACAAAACGCCAACGCTAGTAGTAAACTAAAGAACAAAATTATGTGAAAGAAATAAAAAGCTTAAAGGCTAATAGAAACTAATTCATCTTTGTTTCTATTTTTCAATCATAGTCATTCCAATGTTGATATTTCATCATTTTGAACTGGCAAATTTAGTCCGATGAATACTAACCGAACTACAATAGACACTCAAAGGAAATACCCATATATTCGTCCAGTGACACTCGGATTACTGACAGTACAGACAGAACAGTATATTGTGAGTGCACAAACTGCAAACTGTTATTCTCAACAAATCCACAACAATATTTGAAACTAACAACGTACGAGTGTAGTTTGGACGTTGACTTAATAAATATGGTGCTTTTGTTTCATGGAACAAAAGAACTACATATTTGACAAATTGAGTTTTTTGTGGTTGTGTAAGTTTTATGGGAAAACGAGGGGAGTATTTATTTATTTATTATTTATTTATTTTACACTTTATTGTACACCATAAAAACATACATAAAAAAATACAAACATAAAAGAATGTGCACAATGGGCGGTCTTATCGCAGAATGCGATTTCTTCCAGACAACCTTTGGATGGAGCCAGTATTCAGGAGTTATGTTTAATTTCTAAATCTAAACTACTTTTTAGTTGTCGCGGAGAACCTAACGGGTAACCGGGGCTCCGGCTCGACGTGCAGGAGAAGGAACGAGGTGGTTTTAAGTCAGTAAGAATCTGACACTCCCTCCCGCCTCACCCAGGCGGAGCAGTCATTCGATGATTTTCCTACCTTAAAAATAAAATAATACTTTTTAGTTGCTTATCCATAGAAAAAGTTCTGGAGCTGCATACGTAACGTAAGTCCTAAACTGCGAGAAAACTCCCAGACGATTGCTTCTATTTGCTAAAACTCGCCAATGGTAAATGTTTAGTTAGACCCCACAATGCATTAGATAATAAAAATCTAAATTAATTATTATGGAACAGATAAAAATAAATTGATGTATCGCTTTATGGTAAACAACAAGCATCTAGTCTTTTATTGATTTAAACTATTGTACCTAGAGCCCTACCATAAAAACGAACTGTTCACAGTTGATTCTTCATCACCAACGTAACAAGATAAATTTGGAGTAGGTAACAGACTCAACTAGACACAACATATTGTACCCCATTGACCTTCACATCTCGCGCCGAATAACAATTGATTGCACACCGAATATTACGAAACCAATCATATTCATTGGTCTGAAACCAAATAATCATATTTATTGGTGTCCAAACAACACTTCTCGAATGTTCACAAGTTTTGTTAAGAAATGTGTAATGGGAGATCATAACTTTTGACAGTAGATATAATTCAGAAATTTCTGAAATAGCATCAAATTACGGTATCCATTCTAGTTTCAGTCATCTAGGGCAATTTATAAAAAAATGTTGGAAAAAATGTTCTTTATTTTTTTTACGGCATAAGTCGGTAAACGAGCAGACCGATCACCTGATGATAAGCAATCGGCGTCGCCCATGGACACCTGGAACACCAGAGGCGTTGCAAGTGCGTTACCGGCCTTTTGGGGATAAGTAGTTTGAGGATCGTAGGGGATTCTGGGAGAGGGGTGGTAATTGGGCCTCCGGTAACCTCAGTCATACGACGAAACACAACGCAAGCGTTGCTTCATGAAGCTTTGCAAGCCTTGCAAGCAATACTTAATTTTCCACAACAAAATTATGCACGTCAAGACACAAATGCGGTGTCGGGAAACAAGTACAATTCAAAACCTTCTTTATTACCTACAACTAAAAGATGAAAAATACCTACCATCTTCTAAAAATGATCATTTGACTACACAGTTGACGAGGCGGCTGCTGCGCAACGTGTAGCGGGTTCCATTCCCGCACGAAGCCACTCTTTGTGTGATCTACAGATTGTTGTTTCTGGTTTGGGTGTCATGTATATGGGAACTTGTATGTGAACGCACCCACGACACAGGAGAAAATACTAGTGTGGATCAAGATTTTTTAAAATTTAATAAAAAAAAATATAGGAAGAACTAATGTAGATAAAATTATCAATGAGACATTTTTAATGTCCCTTCTTATACATACATACGCATATAAGTAATGACTAAAGCACATTGGTGATACCAAAATCTCCTTACTCAATAGCCTCTTTTCTATATGCCAACCCTTAATAACCATTCTTTCACCCATGACTTTCACATCAGGGTTAAACCTCATTTATATGTTAACTAGCTTTACACTTACATATTCAAATTTAATCACGATCATAACCAAATTTGATTTTTGCGCTATCATCAAAAGTAGGCATACATTTGCATAGTAATGTCCCAACAGATTGTACCTACTTGGGTACTCGTTAATCGGTTCATGAATAACTTTGTTACGTCAATTTTAAACAAGTGCCTACTGAAAACCTACGAAGAAATCTGTAATTAAACATCGTTTTATATTATCGTATACTTATTTTAGTATCTATGTTATCATTATATCGTATTATTCCGGTTATAATATCAGTTACAACTTCCATGATTACTGAAATATTGGATTAATGCAATAAAACTATTTCTCGCAATAGAATTTGATCTATTTTATCGCTATAAAAATCATATTTAGAGAGTACTAGCTTCTGTCCGCGACTTCGTACGCGCAATCCCGTTCTTTTCCGTTCCCGTTCGTGATTTTCGGTGAAAAGTAAAAAAAAAGTGAAAAGTATCCTATGTCCGTCTCCTGGCTCTAATCTACCTCCCCACTAATTGTCATCCAAATCGATGTAGCCGTTCTTGAGTTATAAGTAGTGTAACTAACACAACTTTCTTTTATATATATAGATTTCAGCTCAGCCCTAAATCAACACTATATTGCTATCAATTATATTGAAATATGTAATAAATTCACTACAAAAATAAACCCTATTAGCTAAACTTCAGGTAACAGTTTTCCCCGAAATACCTACCTACACAGGTATAAACAATGGTTCACCGCATCCGTTGAGCGGCTCCCCACTTTTGCATATTCGGTCGGACGGCTCATGCGTGGGTAGGTTTGATAGGTGCAACCTTTGTCTGTACAATTATGAACAATGTTTAGAACAGTGTATGTGGTTTAATCCCATGGTAACAGTTTATGAAATTCTTGTTCATATTTTTTTATCACTTAATTAATATAAGTCCGTGACATTGGGAAAAACGTTCTCGGATTCTAGGTTCATTAGATAAGGTATACTACTAATTATGTAACTTTTTTTACAAAAGACAAATAGCAACTTATTCTAGCTTTTGCTTGTAAGTATAAACATAATTTGAATTTACAATTACAATAACACTAGCCCTTGAAAATTTAAATACGTGTTTGTCTGCCCTAACGAACGACGAAAGGAAAGAACAAATAAAGAAAATTAACAATTACTCAAAGAAAAATAAAAAGGACGTACAATTTATTATTCAAACGCCCCCGAATCTCGGAACATTAAAACAATATTGACGTAAAGCCCAACTTTATACGGGTTTTATACAACAAGCCTCGTCGATGTTCGCGTCGCCACTCGACGTCGACGTCGCGCCGTAATTTCTATGGCATTGATTTGTCTTTTATGCCACAAAAATGTCGTACTTCACAAAATATTGAAGGTAAATGGATGCTTTCTCTATTGATATGTGTGAGAGGCTTTTGTTATTGGCTGGATGAATATGACAGTGATAGATGAATATTTATTCGCCTAAATTATGCCTTAATTCGATAGCTTCGGTGACATCTTGACGATTTTTTATCGATTAGGTACCTATATAGATAAAGTATTATAATAACGCATCTTCTTTACAAAAAGCAGTTAATAAAATAAAAATGCTTTTCTTTCAATTCACTTAGACATAAACTTTTCCAATGGTAATTACAAAAATAAATTGGTTAAATGAACCCGCATTGGTTTTAAAAATGCATGCGTAGTTCATAGTTGATATCGAATAAATAATTAACAGTAATTGAATACGTGATTTATTCGATTAAATTGATAGTTATATACAAGATTTATATTAGAAAGATTTACGGCATTCATTTAAAAACTCTTTGTACCCTTTATACGTATCGTGACATTTGAACTTATGCAAATGTCGAACGTGCATTGCATACTGAGTTTAATACTCACGTATTATTTTTATATAGATACTTCATTACACTTTTATACGTGTTAAAATATAAAATATACATATATCATAGAGACTTTAAATTGTGTTTATTTTTACTTATAAAACGTGAACTTCTTTAATAATTAAATACAGGCAGGCATTATTGGTTTTTTCGAAGTCTCGATGATGAAGATGATTTTATTCTTCTTCTCCCCATAAAATATCTTCTGATTCACTTCGTTGCAGGAACCAAGACAGTTACTCATGTCCCTGGGACGCGCTGGACTTCAGGGTTCCGGTGTTTTCATGGTTGTATCTACTGTAGATCCTGGCTTACAGGAGTTACAGCGGTTTTGGGAGGTTGTGGCGGGCTTGTCCCATAAAAAAATACTATCGCCTTTTTTTTTTATTCGCGGAGAACCTAATGTCACGCAGAACCTAACGAGTAACCGGGGCTCCGGCTCTACGTGCAGGAGAAGGAACGGGGACCCACCCAGGCGGGAGCAGTCGATTCGATGATTTTCCCCCCTTTAAAAGAAATCCCGCCTTTTAACAAAAAAAATATTTACTGTTTCATCTACCTTTGGTATTTTCTCTCCTGTTGAATATATCTCCACTAACACTTCAATTAATTCGATCTTCGGTCTATTGTATTACATTAGATCGTTTAGGTTACGTGAAAAGCTAGTCTCGTTCATAATGGTTTGTGGTTCACTTACTCAAAATAGGGATTGTCCTGAAATTAATAGGGGTGACCACAAGCACCACAGGTACAATCAATTTAATGAATATTGCTTGGTATGATACTAACTTGTTACAGTTACTGAGGGGTTTGGATTAGTTATTGCTCATTTATCTTCGAGGAAAATAATGTACCATTTTAATACTTTAATGAGCAATTACTGTTTGTGTCCATTTTTTTACTTACTTATCTGTTCACCTACCACATATTATATGACAGTTGTATAAGATGAATGTATTTAGAGTTTTTACATAGAATAATAGATGCCCAATATAAAAAAAATATTTTACTTTAAATAACTACTTATCAAAATTGAATTTGAAAATCTAAGATATTTTATATTTAAAATGTTAAACAAAAACACATGACTTTGGCCTTTGGCTCACGTGCTAACCATTTCTACTCAGCAAATATTGCTAATGATGCGTTAATGCATTTTGTTTGCACAGAGTAAAAGTAACTGTGCTCGTGAGTTATTTTGCTGCAACTCGTTAAAAACTTTAATATGTTGATATATCGTACCGAAAATCCCCAAAATATGATCATAGAAAAGTTGCCTCTAAGCATCGGATATAAGGTCTATAATGGAGTTATGGAAAAGCGGTCACTGGTGATCGCTTGGGGTTTGAAGCAAATAATTTTAGGAAACCAATTTATTGGCGTGTGTTAATTTTAAAGGCATAGTCCAGCTGTTTTGTTTATCTGTATTTTTTTATTTCAATAGCATAAGTAGATGGGACTTCTTAAAACGTTCTGTGTATGATACTATATTGCTGGTTTGTAGGCTAGTCGTGTTTAAGGCACTAAGGGTTGATGTTTCATTCGTCAGTTACATGATTCCTAACTGTAAAATAAAATTTATATTTGACAGTTTTGAGTATGGAAGAATTGTTTTCTCAGTTAAAATTTATGTGAGGTTGGAAAAATTGGCCCTCGTTTGGCCGCAGCCTCAAATTTTGCGAGCAGCGGGGCGGCGGCGACAGCGGCGCGGTTGGCACTGCTTGACTAGAGTGCACCGCTCGGTGCCCACCGCAACGCCGCTGTGTTTTAGAGACCCGGTCCATTTGATTTTACGCATAATATCCTGCCGCTCCCGCGCAGCTGCCGCCGCCGCCCCGCTGCCCGCAAAATTCGAAGCCTCCTTATTTAGGGCAGGATCGTATGCGTATATTCAAATGGACTGGTTCTCGAAAACAGCGACGCGTTAGAGGCCTGAAAGGTTAAGGTTTTTCAGAGAACCTGGTTAGTCAAATGTATAGTTCCTTTGTCAACTCTTGCGACAGTCATGTCAACAGTTAAGGTAGTCACAAATCAATTCTATATTATGCTGTCAGTACACTGCAAACTACATCGAATCAATGCCAAATTTACCGTTAGTGGGAAGAAACCAGTACATAACAATTGTGCAAACAAACAAATATATATAGTGTACAATGGGCAGCAGGTCAATCTACTCTGATCTGTCAAATTCTTTTATTAGATTTTCAACTCTATCATTTTATTATAAAGTCGTAAATCCAATGACAGAATTTGACACACTAGAGTAGGTTGATGTGTTGGTCACTGTACAATGACTAACAACACGTTAATAAGCTACTGATCGTTTTCTACCATTGTACCTAATGTGGGAGTCACGAGCGCATTCCGACACTTTCTGTTTCTACCAGTCATCTTCACATTCTCCGCTTTATAGGCACGTAATGTAAATCTGAGCTTCGTTTTATTACTATGCCTCCATTTGTGACGTCAAAATCTGCAGTTAAGACAAGAAATTCTTCGTCAAGGTTGAATAAATACGCATTTGTTTTTTATATCCAAATTGTTTTTATTGACTGCTACTACGTCATAGGTCATTTTGTGTCTGTGTGACGTCACTGGATATTTTATTGAGATGGGTCAATGGAATTCCCTCGCTGTTAGAAACACGGCGTATCCTGTAGTCAAGATTACGTAATTGATTTGACTTCTTTATTTTCTCAGAACAGGTTTAGATATATTTGCTGAAATGGACATCATACTGTTAAAAGATCAAATAATAATATATAACATGTCAAACAGCCACAAACT